TCTTCATTATCTTATTTTTTGAATATGTGAATCTTAAAATATTTTATCGTACTGTATGTTTGTACTCATTCTTTCTTTCATCCTCATACTCATGTATCTTATGAGGGGAAATCCGATATTCGAATAAAGTTCAGTAATTTACGACTAAGTAATGTATTAACATAGCATCCAGGTAGGAGCATTGAACCTTTTTCTCATAGACATAGAAAACAATTTAAAAATTGACTATATATTGACCTAAATTGACAAAATACAACATAGATCTATATTTTGAAAGCTTAACAGTTCTCGCACATACGAGATATCAGAATAAATAAGTCTAATGATAGGTAATGTAAACATATTAAATATTGAACACCCCTCAGTTAGTAATTTCAGTAAACAAAAAAATACACTGGATAAACCAATATAGTTGCAATAAATTTTTGAACTGTCAAGGGACCTTATAGCTGCATACCGTTGCCAACTAGGCTGACGTCATTGGATTATATTGTAACCAACTAAAGCAAATTGTATTCGGCTTTAATAGGTTTGTTGTTTCAAAAATAAACATTTTCTTAATACCCAAGTTTAATGCCTTTGACTAAAACTAGTAGCTTTGAACCATGTACAACTAATTTCGGTGCCATTGTAAATTTAATTTGTTGTAAGTGTATTATATGTATTTGTTAAACACGTTAAAAACAAGTTAGAACAATATTTTACTAATAAATGTTATTTTGATGTAGATATTCTTAGTATCTAAAACAATATATGTTTAAATGTTTATTCATCCAAACCCCACAAAAAAACAGGTTCTCAAAAATGATAGTTTCAACTTAAAGAATGTAACCTAATTCTTGTTATTTGTACTAATACTTGTAATGATAAGTAAAAATTGCTGTACCTTAATTCAGAAATAAAGTATAATGAAATCAGAGTGTTAGGCAGAACTAAGTTTGTAATTAAATCAACAAATGTAATTTTAGCACCGCAAAACTTTCACTAGTTTTAATGAAACTGAATGAGATTATTCTTCTTTCACTATTTCAACGAAATTTTAAAAGTTGAAAATCCCAACTGAATTTGTAACGAATCTTTTAAACTTATTCTTTTCAAAATTAATCCTAATATTACATAACTCTCTTTATACTTAAGTAACATCTACATATTGTGTGCTGTACCGAACATCAAACATCATGTTATATTACTTTGCATTTTTATGTACATTATTACAAAGGTTAATATAGATTGGAACTCAAAATCCCTGTTAAGCAATTATGTAGCACTAACTGATAACTAAAAATATTCTTTAGGTGTTATCATTCAAGAGGGATCGACCATTAAAAGACAGCTTTTCTAGTTTGAGACAAATATGTGATTTCCTTGTAGGTGAAGATAGATAAATTAAAATTAGCTGTGAACCTCAAAATTAGCAATTGATCATTGAATTGGGTGAATTTGAGCATTCAGCACAAGAAGACAATTCATTCAGCTCGTTCAATAAATAATTTGTACCCAGTGGAGGTAGTTTTGCATTAATACATTATACATATGCCTTCAAAAGTTTAACTTATTTGTATAAACTATTTTTTTTTTTACTAAACCTGATAAAATAAAATTGTAAGGCAAAATGGTCAGTGACATGCATTTTATATATTTTTTTTACTTTTTTATATATTCTTTTCAAATATTCTATATTGAAAAAGGGTGGTTATTAAAGAAACAATGGATATATACTACCAACCATTCACATTAGAAACATTGTTCTAAAGTTGAAGAAATGTGTAAAGCCAAGTTTTGTCCTCATGGGAAATCTTGCAGTTGGTATCAATGTGTTAATAGGTTTGGACCACAACTGTAACGGTTGAAAGTTTTAGTCAGTAAAAACCGTCGCACAAAGTTAAACTAGCTATTTCTGGGCTCCCAAACTAATTTAAATGTTGTGGTCCAAATGCAATTGAAATAATTAATTATTTCACATAAAAATAGTATGATATAGGAGTACATTTGCCTAAATTGTGTTCTACATTTTTATAAATAATATTTACCTAAGTTAATGGAGTTTTGGATCCGTTCTGTATTTTTAAGCCAAATGTAAAATCTACTTATTGCTTTAATAATTTGTGGAATATGATGTAGTTGGAACAACTGTTACTTAAATAAGGTTTTATACTAAATATATCGACGTACCTTTACAATCGGTTTGCAATTAGTTAAATAAATAGCATCATACAACAATAATTTTCTTTAAAATCAAGTAAGATATTTTTACTAATTTGCATATTAGTAAATTAAATACACCTTTCAGATTGATATGTCAAACTATTACACAGCGATTAAAAAATAAAAATAGTTCATAAAAAAAGATCTAAAAACAGTTACATTTAACACTCGTTCGTAACTTTTTGTTATATTACTTTCCAATCACACAAGCAAAAATCGATTAATGTAACAAATTAATACTGCAGTGTGGTTGATACAAACAAAATACTACATTTATCTTGCTTTTCTTTGAAATAAACAGGACGTCTGTTTCGAGTAATGAGTCCACAGCTCTATAAAGAGGAGTTTGCTGTAATTTGTAGCAGCTTCTTAACAAGCAGTCCCCTTCCACTATTCTTTATCATTCCACAACACCCTTGAAATTCTTCTTTATTGTCAGAACATTCTGAGTAAAATAATAAAAAGAAAAATAAATATTTGCAGTGTATTTGTAAACTTATACTTTCTACACTACGTATAAATTTATACATTAATAATATTACCAACCAGATATTTAGTCGGTTTCAATACAGTTTTAACATTGTAAAATAATTTTAAGTTTACAACAGGGGACAATAACATGTCGGCTAGTAGGCATATATTAATGTAATTTCAAAATATGTTATCTTTTGTGAATAAGACTTCTAGTCACATATAAAATATAAATATAAAATATGTCGCATATAAAATGCATATTCTAAAATTTTTGCATCTTTGTCACTTGACTTGCATCTTTGACACGTTTGCAAAATTAGGAAGAGTACTATTCTTACTTGAAATGTATTGTAAATTTCCTTTTTCAAACATATATTTCGTGCTTATCAGAATACTTTCCAAAATATTTCATAAAATTCAAAAAGACTACCAAACCCGACACTCAAAATGGTACAAAGTCTTACCAAACACAAGGACAATATTGAATAGTTTAGATTTAGAGGGGATTTTCCTCATTAGATGATTTTTAGGTATAAATTGCAACGCAATAAATATAAACATATTTTAGAGCAGTTGAATTTCACATTTATCTATTAAATATTTCAATTTCCGTTCATTATTGTACAATACTGAATGGCAATAGTAACACATTTTTGAAGTAATAAAAAACAGCAAATAATATTTACAGTGTGCATTATAACTATAACTATTTCAAAGCTATAAATTTATAACTACAATTTTATAACTGGTTATATTTTATAGTTAACTACCATTGTTATAAAGATCAAATAAATCGTTGTAATTATTTTTGGTTCTCAATTATGTGGTTTACGTAGTTGAAACGTCCTGGATATTTTAAAGTTTCTAAGGTAGGTAGGTTCTTTTGGAAATAAAAAAAAATGTAATATATTATTTTGACTGAAACCTAATTTCTTAAAAGTTAATGATTATCCTTACGTTTAAATGAAAATTCCACACTATTATTTTGATGGCAAGCACATAAAATTACATATACCATTTCGTTTTACTGTATTTTAATCATCATACAAAGCGTAACATATAGTCTTGATTATATTTATGGAAACACATAATATGAGATTGGAGATGAGTAAAATCCTAGTGACTTCGCATGTTAAATCTCATTTAAAAACTATAAGTTGTAAAAGTTATTGAACAAGATGTGTTATCGAAAAAGATGTTCAGAAGAACTGTCATGAAAGAGATTGTAGTTCTAGTTTTGTAATCAGAGTCTCGTTTGTCATCAGTTATCGGTTGAACACTTTACACTATGTTGCCAGTCATTACCGAGATAAAATAACACTTCCCAATTTGTTTGAGTGAAAGTTTTATTTGTTGTATAAAGCTCTTGGATATTTTACACTACACTTTTTTCATAGACTACATTATTTGTATGTTTAATAAGTTTATTCTGGTAACACAACATTTTTACGAACTTTTAATCTTTGTTATGGTTTTTTGTGGTTCAAACCATTAATTCATCAACTATGATACTGAAAGATTTAACTTTTTGCAATTGTTGTGAAAGAATTTTTTTAATGTATAAATTAAAAATGGATGAAGAAAGTAATGCGTTGAATATTAGTATGATAAATGCCATATCATATATTTAGAGTAATATACCCATATACTCCATACATAGGATAATAACTAACCATATAAATACAAATATTGAATGTAGGATCAATGTACAGGTTACATTATCAAACGTTTAAAACTGATATTTTACACCTTTATACTAGCTGCTATTTTGTAAAGTTGATAATCTAATTTTTGAAATTTAAATTACAGACATATTTGACCAGCTTAAGCCTCATTTTGACACCTGGGTAACGTATTGCCTGTCGATAAATCCTCTGAGTTAGACAACTTAGAATTAATTGAACTAAAGGACCAACTGACTTAACGATAACTCTTTATTTATATATTATTTTTGTAGGGTTAACATCACCACTAAGATAAATTTGTTAAGAAGAGGTTAAAATAAATTGTAAGCAAAAACAAATTAAACTCAAAATGTGTTTTGGAGCGTTCAAGCAATAAAAAAATCATATTAGACCGTTTGAAAAGGAAATAAATTCTTTATAATGACTTTTTTTGTAACAGAACATTTTATTTTATGAATGGGGTTTGGTACAAATAGTTAAAGAGCTGCAAACAGTAAGTATTTTTGAAAAATCTTTCAGGATAGTTTTTAAGTGTACATTTTCGGTTTTTTTTTCTTAAAAACGAAACGTAAACAAACGCTTTGAATTAAAAACAATATACAAATTATGTTTGACTAAATAATTCGTTTCTATTAAAGCAAAGTTAACCCTAAACTACGCTCCTCTTCTTTGGAGCTCCACAAAATATCCATCCACAGATGCCAACGTGGTTCTATAAACATAGGTCAACTCTTCAATGTTTACTTTGCTTGTGATCTTGAAAGCTTTTAGAATGTGTATCAGACTTATTTTCAGAGACAGAAAAGCAAAGTTTTTGCCTGAAATTAAGAACACCAATTAGAATTAAAGTTTAATAAATAAGTTGTCTTCTGTAAATGTATATACATGTTAAAACATATAAAGAACACTGTTCACTTAACATACAAATTTTATAAAAACTACATAAAAGTTGCTACCATTAATGAACTATGGTGTCTCCTGCGGAAGGACAAATCCGTTTAATGTTGATCATACCTCAAACCAAAACTTAACCTAAAAAAAAAAAAACAATTCCAGAACCACCTATAGAGTCACACAAAATGTATGTTGTACCTTAGAACTTAAAGTTATAGGGCATCCAGTAAACAGTTGAATTAATCGAAATATGAGATATTCGGTAAAATTAGGTATAAGGTAAACTGTGCGAGCTAAACTTATACCTAACATCAAGTGTTAAGGAGTGACCAACTAAACTTTCACCTATATTTTCTCATCAAAAATTACACATCCGTCTGCATCATATAAATTAAGCTACCAGTTGGTAACGATGCGATGTAAGCTAACTATACTAGGGTCCACGAGAGTCTGCAGCTGGCGTCAGCCTAGTATGAAAGGGCTAGTATGACGTTGCCATATAGCCTGTTGGCTGATGACACTAATTAAAATATAATAAACAATATTTTTAAATCAGCTGGTATTATTAGATTTGACAACAACGTGCGATCCTCATTGGCTCCTTCGAAGTCACGTGGTAAATAGGATCCTTCCTCAACTACAGACTCTCGTGGATCGTACTGAGGTTGGCTATTTTAGTTCAGGTTCGCTATTTGAAAACTTATTTTGTACAGCTCTTACCATGTAAGTAAAATAAACAACTCCTCCTGGGTTGTAAAGTTGGTCTTTAAGTAATATATCGTTATATAAATCTTAAATAAACAATAGTACAGTAATCGATTGAGCCACTCACCAATACAGTTTCTGGGACCTCCTCCAAAGGGAAGGAATGAGTATGGATGTCTTTTCTGTACTTCCTCTATACAATGCCTGTCTGGATCAAACTGTCCAGGGTTTGGATACACCTCTGGATCATAATGTAGACCGGCGATGCTTAGTATTACTGTTTCGCCCTTCGGGAATGTACATCCTCCTGAAACATATAATATTTAAGTGTTCTGAGATGATATGCTTGAGCAATATATCCAAATTATCGTTATATGGTTAAGTTACACCGTAACTGGTTGCCATTCACTGTTTGGAGAATATTCGAAGTAAAATGAAAGCGTGCATACGAGATTAATTATATGACACTTTTTAAAGTTGTTAAATGTTTCCAAAGTGGTAAAAGTTATAAATTCAAGCAATATTGCTATGCAACATGATGTAATAAAAATGTATGACCTAAAAGTGCAAGAATAAAAACAATAATGACTTGGTATACTAATATTATTTTTACTCTAAAAAAACCACTTATTCGTCACCGTAGACTTCTTATCTTTGTGGTAATATAATGTCAGTGGAGTACTGTACTATGAAGGTTTCATAGACAAGCCTGTAGAGATGTGATTGAGCAGGTAGTCTTAAACGAGCAATATCAACCACCACTACTGCAGTACTCTGTCCGGAATTAATATGTATGCAAGTAATGAAATAGTCAAATGAAGGGGACAGATTGATTCTGAAGTAGTGAAGACCAAAATATCAAATAAACTTCTTCTACGCACCAATGTTCTACAAATGGCATTTTAGTACGTTTTAAGATACTTAAATTTACTTACTCAGTGTAAAGTGCTCGTCGAGTTTTCTAGGCACCAGAGGAACCACCAGGAACATACGAAGGGTCTCCTTGATGACTCTGTGAAGTAAATGCAAGTTGTCGAGATCTTCTAACTGGACCTCTTGTGACTGGTCACCCGTATATGTTATTATTTCATTGTAGAGATCCTCCTGGAATTAATTTAATTTGATACAATTGTTAATCAAGAATAAACTACTTGAAATGAAACCTTTTCCGGTAATTCACTACCACTAATTATTATATTGGGTTAGGTTAGGTTGGGTTAAACATAGTCCTAACGTAACCTAACCTAACGTAACTTAACCTAACTAACCTAAGATACTAATTAGTGGTAGTGAATGAAGTGGAGAATTAAGGGAAATGGTCTGGAATATATAATATAAAAGCAATTCCTCATTAATTGCCCATTACAAAAAAATACAGTATTTCTTTGTAAGTGACGGTTTAAGAAGTGTATGTAAGGCTTGATGTGTTGAAAAGTGTCAAACTTATCCACAATATTATGACGAATAACATGCAAATTAATAACTGACTTAAAGCGATAATTTAAGGCACAAAAAATACAATACAGCTGAAGTCATATATGAAGTAAAGGTGTTTTAATTATTTCATAAACTTCTTAGGTAAATCCACCTCGTAAGTAAGTTTTATCAGACGTAAATAATCAACCGATAGCTTTAAAACCAAATAATTATCAAAAAGTGAAATACAAAATAAACAACTATCGTTTTGTGATAAGAACAAAGGTTCCGCATACCGCTTGTTGAACGCTTATAACTTTTAAAGTAATGTTTTGGCACACACACACATTTTTATTACAGCCAATAAAAAAAAACAAAAAAAAAAACAGAGACATTATAAATGATACGATTTTGACAACAATTACTTGATTTTAACATTACATTGGTATGGTTGAAGCTACAAACTACTTGGTAAAATAATCTTATTTGATAACGTGCTTAACCTATTTTTAATAAAAACTAACTTAAATCAAAATCACCTGTATTTGTTGGTGCTTTCCAAGTATTAACATACAGGAACAGAGAGCTACAGCCACAGTCTCTGATCCCTGAAACATTATTGAAATCGTAAAATGTCGACAGTTTAGTGTGACATATTGTGTGCTTTAAGTGCAATAATAGCGCTGGGTAGCAGGTTGGTTTATTGGTAGAGTCCGGGGTTTGGTCCATGAGGTTCCGGGGTTCAAATACTTCCAAACACCAATGCATTTTATCAATATGAAAATAACTCAAGCGTCGAGTCAGTGATCTAAAAATTGGATCCTGACTAGAAGTTAGAGTCGAGATGTAAATGATATCCTAAGAAGGGCCAATTTAACTACTTATGTAGATATATTTCCAAACTTAAAAATAAAAATCACGGTAGCTCACAAAATGGGCTCAATGGAATAGTTTCACTTACCGTTCCAAATAATGTTTTCATTTCGTCTTGTAACTCATCTTCAGTCATGACGTCACGCAAAGCCTGCAAAAGGTGCGATGGTAAAGCATCTCCTGCAACATAATTGACATATAAAAACTTTAATTTAACATAACTGATTCTTACTGATTACCAGTTTTATATTTGGTCTACATTGTACAGGTGACATGATTTTAATTCAGTACAATTAGGTAGGCTATCTGATAAGAGTGAAAGAATGTTGATATATAATAAATTGGGTTTTAAATTTTCACAAAGTATGCTCTGTTAATATGTCTCACAGAATAATGCCGTTACAAGATTTCAAATGCGGACATTACGATATAATGATATAATCGTGGTGGCAATTGACTATGTATTTAAACTGAGATGTTTCAACAATATATGAAATACACAAGCAGAAGTCTAAATAGTGCATACAGTATCTACCTTTAACTTCTTCCATGAGTTTTTCATTATCACTGTTAGTGCAGTGCTTAGTTGTGACAGCCTGAAAACAAGTTATGAACGAATTTTGTTAATATGTTTTGGCATTATTACTATATTATAAGCATTTAAAATGCATTTACTTACGTTGAGTAATAGCACCCTTGAAGGTTTTATTTATAGAGATTAAATCAGTTAAGGATTATATCCTACACGTATTGCCTATCTATATTCCTTATCACGAGTCAAAACAAAAGCATCCTGTTTATCATGAAATAATCATAAGTTTATTGTAATAATGGATCAATAATCCACTTTTATTACATTTACAGCTACATGAGATTTACATATATAGTTTTTCGATGTCCACTGGTATGGGCAAAATCGTAAACGCTACATAATGAAAAGAATTAAATAAAATTCCACGCTGATAGTGATTCAATTCATCAATACTTCATTAAAGAGTGATATATGTTCCTTACTCTTCCTTACTCATAATAAATTAAACAAAATTACTATGTAAATACAAAATTATAAGTATTACTGCATTGTAAAATGTGTCAAGTTTATTTGGAGCCGAATAAACGAAGACCACTTGTAAAATAAGTTAATTATAATTATTACCTTCAAAGGTTGAGAAATAAATTCCTTCCACAGAATTTCAAGCTTTTTAACTCGTTTCCAGTTAATAATTCTCAACATTGTATTTGACGATATCCAAGGGTAAATACATTTACTTGCAACAAGATCCATTGCGCTGCATACAATAAAACACATGTTAATAAAACGAGGTGCTTCAAATAGAATTTTGAAAGAGAAAATATACTATGGATATTTAGAAAGTGTAAGGATTTATTATTTATTTATTTATTTAACCTAGCCTAACCTAACCTAACCTAACCTAACCTAACCTAACCTAACCTAACCTGCCATAAAAACATTTCTCACATTTTCGCATCTAGTTTACAAATAATAAAAACTGTAGTCATTATATTTAAAAATTCAATAAAGCTGAAATAGAAAAACCTCTGTAAACCTTAAAATACATTTACGTTGACTAAATTTCTATTTTTTGTAATAACATTTGAAAGCTAATAAATGTACATTAGAGTGTTTTTAAACACGTAATATCCAAGTTTTACACAATTCGATAACTTAACATTTTTTTACTATTTATTGAGATATTAAATTAAGAAAAATACAAAGTAGAGTATCACTCAAATTCTTAAAATGATATTATTGATTACAAATTATTCAAAAAACGTAATAATGACATTAAACTGTTAGAGGTACTTAAATGGCAAGATAGGTTATTTGAATAACTATTTGAAATAACTTTAACAATATTTCTTAAATAAATCGTAATTTGACTCGACTTACATATTTATACATTCAACCCCAGCATTAATTGAATTCTCATCTGTCTTATAAACACCTGTAGGACCAAACATAATACCTAAAACAAAAGAACATTGATTATTAAAATATAAAAAAATATCACAATGCATGAAATGCTATAAACGGTAAGTCGATTGGGGGGTTAAGTTCATTTCAATTATTATCATAAACTTTTTCCCTACGACAAATTGTAACATAATTTGTTAAACTGCATGAAAAAAAGTTTAAACGATGTGAGATCATGCTGGGAATTTGATCTGATGGCATGGGATCTTGTAAACCAACAAGCCCAATTGACTAACCGAGTAAAATGCATGCATCAGACACATTTGTTTGTTCAGCTCCTTCAAATTAATTTTTTTTTTAGCTGACCCTTGACTCACTAAAACTCTAGAGCTTGATGATGTTTTAGCAAGTATAATTATTAGATGGGCCATTGTATTAATAATTTATTAATAAAAATACTTTTAAAAAATGCCACGTTTTTAAAAGCACTAAAAAGTATAAAATAGTTTATAAAATGTTGAGAGAATAACTACTTGTAAGATTTAAAACAAAAAACGTGGGGCTCATGATGATTTACAATTAACTTCACCTATTGAACTATTATGATCTATTGCATTCGCCCCACGTTTTTCGTTTTAAATCTTACAAGTATTTACTCTCTCAACATTTTATAAATTATTTTATACTTTTTAGTGCGTTTAAAAAACGTGGCATTTTTAAAAAGTATTTTTATTTATAAATTATTATCTAGTTTTTAGTCTTTAACGTGTAAATATGTTAAATATATTTTAAATATAGTCTCTTAATACATAACCAAAACCCAAAACCTTATTATCTGTAATCAGATGTTTTATCTTTACTTTGAAATGATTGTTTTATATTTTTTCAATATTTCGGGAGCAGTACCTGTACCTTTTAACCTCTGCTCTTCTAACTGTAAAATTTAAGTATTTACAGCTGACTTAAATTAATTTATATGTTTAGATTCTTTTAAAATGTAAACATGGAAAATTTGGAAGCCAAAGGGGCGTAGCCCAAGGGAAATATGAAAATTAAATGATTGTCATCCATTTTTGAGCTATGTTTCAAGTTTCAAGTCTCTAGCTCATCGGGAACTTCGTTTAAAATTGATATCAAAATTTGTAGGAAAGCGAGCTAATAAAATAAAGCCCATGGGGCGTATTCCAAGGGAAATATGAAAATTAAATGATATAATATTGCATTGTCATCCATTTATGAGCCATGTTTCAAATTTCAAGTCTCTTGCTCATCGAGAAGTATTAAAATTTGCAAGAAAGCGATTTAATAAAAACAAGCCCATGGGGCGTAGCCCAAGGGAAATATGAAAATTAAATGATATAATATTGTATTGTCTTCCATTTGTGAGCTATGTTTCAAGTTTCAAGTCTCTAGCTCGTCGGGAAGTTAGTATAAAATTGATTTCAAAATTTGTACCGGACAAGAAAGCGATCTAATAAAAACGTATTAAAATAGGTGTTTTGTGAGTGGACATGCACTCTAGCACACATTATATCAGCCATTGTTGCTATGTTGACTTTACTTTTTGACTTCACTGTTGACGTTACTTTTTACACATCAAACACCTTTTGTAGCTAGGAAAAAAATGAAACAAATAATGCCATATTAAGGTAAGCATATCAAACATAGTCGAGTTTAGTATTCCTATCGTTAGTCAAAACCAGTACTTTTTATCTTCACTTTTATTTATATTTGTACTAATTTAAATTTTACTTTGCATATCTTATCGAGTATTTACCACATATTGACCTAATAGATGCTGCCACTACTTGTGGAAATAGGTCAATTGGTCCACAATTCACTTGTGAGTCAAGTTGCTCCACCAGCCTAGAGCTACTATCGTTCCATACAGGCACCATCTTTTTGAGACTTGAGGGGTGAAAAATCGGGTTTATGAGCTTGCGAGATTTCTTCCATTTAGGTCCTGTCGATAAGAAAATGGGTTAATATCGATAAAAAGCTATAAAATATAAAATTAAAGAATGTAAATTTTGAAAGTTGTCTTGTGTATGAGAAAATATTTGATCTTTTACAGATATAAAGAATTAATAGTTGTAGAACCAACTAACTGCTAACTTATTTTGTTTCCTATAGTTAGTATTCGCTCATATTTGACTATTTAAATAGTATGGATAGTGGATTACAGAAACTTAACTAATGTTAATGTTTGGTTTTAGTTCCTGAGGATGGATCTTGAACTTTAAGATGACAGGTTTGTAAGCTTTTTATGGTAAATGTAAAATTAACAAAGTTTACATCCTAAAGGACTTCAACGGAAAGTAAATTCTAAATTATTAATTGTTGTAAACAAATACATCCATACAAAATGTATATACAAACTTTAAAAAAAGTAATCTCTCACATAGATAACTAACTCTTTGAATCCCTATTTAAACGGTTGTTTAATATGCCAAACCGTATTAGTCAAATTTTTATCGAATTACCAAAAGGAAATGGGTAGATAATATACGTTCAAAGCTAAGCTAAACTGATAAACAACGAAACCATGCGTTGCAGCCGTACCTGGTGCCATGATTAACCCTTCTCCAAATATAATCTTCGTGGCTTCATATCCCTTATTGATGGATTTGGAGTTATTCAATATGGCCTGAAAATTGTTTGTAGTTTACAAAAAAATTCTTCACATTTTAAGTTATATAAAACTAAATACATACAAAGGCCACAGAAAGCTTACTACAGGTATTCTTAGTCTATCAATGAATAATAACAAATATGCCTCCTTACGATGGATGAAACATTAGTATTTATGTATAGAAATATAAGGTAATGAATCTGATAACTTCCATAAAAAAATAACAGCTTGCTCTACACTTTCTCACCACCAAAATATATTTTATTTGTGTTTGCGTATAGTTTTGCTTTGAGTCACTTATCAAAGCATCGTACATTGAATCTCACTTGTAAATGGAAGAACTTTTATTATTTATTTACCTGAATATCAGAAGGGTCTTGAATAAAAACCAGAGGCTTTGGTCCGATCCAGAGACAAAATACTGGAAAACGTTTTTCCGCAGCCTGCTTCAAAAAGTCACACAGGCATTTTGTAAAACCTATAATATTGAGAAAAATTACAAAATTACGTAATTATGTTACAAAAATAATATAATACAGGATCTGGATAGAATTAATTAAGAGGAAGAAAACAGTCCTTTACACAAGAAATACATGCTACATTACGAAAAATATTACTTGTAAAAATAATAAGAGTAACAAAAATAGTTGACTTTCAAATAATTTCAATTATGACTTTCAATAGTTAATCTTACAATAATGGTTTTGTGAGTGAAGTATTAAACATTGATTTTCATCAATGTGATATTCACATACTTTTTTTTAGCAATTTGTTCTCTATTTGTCATAATGGCTTTTATGAAATTTGTTTGTATACAGTATATCAAAAGTTCCCCTCGGTATTTGTAAGCGTTTACCTGTATATCCTCATGAATGTCATATTTTTTTATTATAAACAATTGGCTCGAGGAAGTATAATATTTATCTGTTGGTGCAAAAAGGCTACAGCAATTCAAAGTATTAATAACAAATAACTAAACATAATTAAAGGTTGGAATGAGATTTAACCTTTAATGGTAAAGGCACTTACAGCATTTGCATGAAAGTACGGTACTTACTTTCAACATTGAACAATTTGTTCTTTGGTAGGAACAAGTCGATATTTCCTATAATCCATTTCTTCGGATGAACAACAGGAAGTGTGTCGGCCAGCACCAGCAGCTTTTTGCACTTCCATTGGTAGATAATTATAACACATTTCAGGACCACGAAGATTAAAATAAGAATGGAAAGAATACCCTGCAACATGTGAATAGATACATGTATGTAGGTAATTGTAGTGTTGAAATAAGTATATAAAATCAGTGTGAGTCATGTGGGAGTTGGCAAGTAAAATTATTTGGTGAAGTAGGCATATTTATAACAGTTTACTTTATCCAGTCAGATGTTGGAGAACTATTCAAATATTTATCTCAGGTTTAATTGACGTTCGTTTTTTAAAATAGTCAAATGGAAAAAATGTCCTTTGTTGAAAGAAAAACTGCTTTTAATCGCAATCTACTAGAATATTGATATATCACTTGTAAAAACATTATATTCCATGGTTAACAGAATACATAATCAAAAGTTTTAATCGTGAAAAGTAATTAAATGACTTTTCAGTGTTGGTTGCATATTTTGTATCGATTACATTTCGATTTCTAACTAAAGAAACTGAATATCAGCATCAATATGTAATTCTAAATTCAGTATGCTTGTCATCGTTTTGTATCACATACTTCATAAATATTCATAAAACGTACCTTAGTAACAACTGATAAATCCATTACAACTCATTTAGTGAACCACAAAAAAACTAGTTTAGAATAAAACAACCTTCTATAAACCAGGTGGAATGCTGTACGAACGAATACAGATGTTCATTACTTAAGACACCGTCTGGAGTCTTATCTTATCATGCATTGATAACAAACATCTGTCTCCTATGAACTTTGCTGGTAACAGGTACACACATTACTTTTTTCTGTTATAGGTCACCATTAAAATTGTGTGATAATAGATATTTGTGTATTAAGGGCGCAAAGTACGCGAGTTCCGTTCGAGAACTGAAGATGGCTGCACGGAGGTTTAGCTAAGTGTGGAGCTCGTAATAGACAAAAGTTTTTTCTAGTACCTTAATCAAGTTATGATAAAAACAGATGAACCTTTTATCTTTATCCACCATAATTAACTAATAATAACAGACGAATAAACTTTTTCGCTTTAAATAAAATATTGTTTAGTGTGTGTTGGCTTTTTTAGGTTATGGTATTTACTTATGGGATGTGTTATAGAAACGCCAGAAGAGTTAAAACAGCTGATTTTGCGAGCAGAAATGAGTCCTTTTTGCGAGATTTTTACAAGTGTGGAAATGTGATAACTTCCATGTAGTGGTAAAAATAATATAGCTATAGAATAGGTATATAGTTTATATAAAACATTCAAATTTGTTTTCGAACTATTCAATGCTTATTAGTTAGTAATTGTCTAGCTAGCTGAGTTGTTATGGTGCTAGAATTCAAATCTGAAGAATTCTGGTTCGATTCGAGCAAAGTCGGTTCTGCAACCAGATTCTATTCATCACTAAGCCACCAATTAATGATGTTATCTTTGAAACATTGTCGTTAAATCGTAAGTAATAATCTGGATTTGGTCGTTACCTTTTTAAACTTTGGATATTCCATTCAATTAGACGTTTAATTGCTTTAAACTCTTGAAAGATTATGAAAGAAGTTTTAATTTAAACAGTTTTTTAGATTTGCAAACTTGAAAAACATTCTGTCTTTTATATAACAATTACTTTAAGTTTTGATGTATAATATGTAATGACAAACTATAGTATTAAGAGTTGAGAATTAAGATAAATTGGAAATGTTACATGTTAACTGTTGTAAAACACTCTTCAAATCCCTGGGACGAATAAATATTCCCAGATTCAGATGTTTATTTTCTGAGAGTTCACTCGTTCAACATAATATTTGCCTTCGCTTATTTTCGCGTGCAAACTGTTTGTTTAGGATTTTGATTTATAGTAGTGGTTGTGTACGTAGAAAGTATATGACTTTAAGCATGAAATATATTGAAAATTATTGTTTATAGCTATAAATATTTTGTAGGAAATTTTAGGATTTCAAAAAGCTTATTGCGTAAGAGGTTATAATAGGACCAGAGGGTGTGCTGGTTGCTTGAAATCTAAAAATTATTTAGTAATAAATGAGGGAGTTCACAATAAATAATTTCCACAACATTATTGGATTAATTTACTATATTAAGCTTAGCAAAGTTTAAGTAACTACTGGAAATACTCACACTGTTAATAAAAGCTCTTCATAAAAACTCTTCAGCTCTTCACTTAAAATATTGATTGTAAATATTTTAAAATTTTCAGCAGCTCACTTTGGTCTTAAGCGTTTTACACTATTTGAATATTTCAGTCCTATTATAAATCCGCTCAACTTGGGGCCACACAAAGTTGTATTATGTAAAAATGCGAGGACTCTCGAGGGGTACCGTTCACAAAATACCCCCTAAAAATTAATAATTAATGAATTAATTTGCATTTCCTTTTAAACAGAGAAAATCAAAATAAATTGTTATGTACTGCTAGCATGAGAATTACTTTTATTGATAATGGTATAACTTCATTTCTCTTAAAATCAAATCTTACAACTTACACAAAGAAGTAATTAAAAGTCCTCTAAGTATTTTTTTGAAAAATATTTAATATTCTCTGAGTAATGATTAAAATATTTATTGACAGTTGCATTAAAAAGTAAGGCATTATAAAACTACAAAATAAAAATAATATCTTGGTTAGTGTCATAGTGCTCTTATTTAACAACATGTTTCATTGTAGAATATTTCAGCTCATTCATGAAGTTCCTACTGCCATACTTTATTTTAATTCGTGTGTTATCTGTGCCAATGTTATTTCTTACGATTGAAAGGAAACGGTCCAAGCCCTCTCCTTGTTACTATCTAACGTCTACCTTTTTGTTAGATAGCATTATTAATTGACAGCCGAATAAACAAAATGGTATCTGGGTCTGAAAACGTTCTTGCTTGGATTCGAACCAGCGACCTGCAGATTTGAAGAAGAGCAATATAACCACTCGGCTACTTAGAAGATTAACTGAATTCTTCCTTATATTACCATTTTACCTGAATAAATAGTATATTTAACTCTTTGTTGCTAAACTACACCTTCTGTATAGCTAATTTTAATCCTCTCACCTTCCTCAGCTCTCAAATTATAAATAATATTCATATTTTTTTTATAAAAATGCACAACGCCTTTATGTTTTATTTTTAGCTTTAACGCCTGACTAACACCTACAAAACAGATTTTCCTTATTAATTTTCTTTTGTATTTCGCACACGTGGTAAATCTCCTTTGAGCCTTTGACAATGGAAAAGCTTCTCAATCCTTTGTTGTATCAAAGCTTATCGTTTAACATATTCACAATTAAGTTAAACAACGTATTTTTGTCTTCTCTAAAGCATGTTAATTTAGTTAATTAAGTTGTGATCTCTTGTAGTCTATGTAAAGCCGTCTTTGTAAATATTACCCTTATTATGTCTAACGTTGTTACATGAAAGTAAGAATTTTTTATAAGTTTTGCAAGATATTTTTATTTGCAACGACAGAGTAAAAGAAAATGAATTAATAGGAAGCTTGCCGTTTTAACAAACCTTGTGTATTATTTCTAAGATTTTGGAATTCATGTGCTTTCAAAAAGGTTTTTAGTGGAAATTTGATTTGTTTTTTTTTAATAAGAAAACAACAGTTTTATTCTTAGCAATCAGATAAAAAAATATATAATACACTTTGATTTTTGATAATTTTACTTACACCATCAAGATTCATCTGTAATTAAATCATTACAAACCCCTGACTCTAAAAACACGGATTTTAATGAGTTATTGAATGCAAACTCAAGATTTTAGGAAACTTGGTAGAATATGAAACAGTTGTAGTTGATTTATCAGAAAGCTCTGCAGATGAATCACCCTTTCGTAGCCGGGTGGTCAAAAATAATATACAGGGTGTCCCGGAACCCTCTACCAATATTTTAGGGCATTGCTCCTGGGTAAGAAACATAACTAAATATCATATTTAAACTGTCCGGAAGTCCTTAGTTACTCACACAGCCACCATTTGTTTTTTCAGTTATTAATTATTTTATAAAGAATGGTTGAACACACAAACATTTATGACAACTAGACAAAGCTACCAAATAATCATCACAATTTTTCAAATCCATAAATCAAAATGGCGGCCATTTACAATTTTTGTAAAATCAATGGTTTTTGAGTCATTTAAGAAAGAAAACTTTAAATGGCCGCCATTTTGTTTTATGCGTTTGAAAAATCTTCATAGTTTTTTTGTAGCTTTGTCTAGTTGTCATAAATGTTTGTGCAAAGTTTCCATTTCGTATGTTTAACCATTCTTTAG